TTGATAACTACATGAAAGACCATAAAACAATAAACCACCTGAAAATAGATAGTGAAGGATTTATAAAAATCATCAATAGAGAGAACAGGCTACAATTATAAAGAAAGGAAAAAACACAATCAAAAGGAGACGAGATAATGACTTGACAAATATTGGGGAAGACTGCTGTAATGACATGTATTAGGTATTATGTGCTATAATCACCTCAAACATTATCGTATGATCAACTAAATACTAAAGACAGGATACAATGAATATAGTTCTTCTCCTGTAACTTTCATACAATTACATATTCACACACATGCCAGTACCCAACATTATTATAAAATTCTAAAAATACAATTCCACATATATGTAAGAAACATACTTACCTAGGATTTGGTACATATTTGTCTACAGTCCAGATCAAGTATATAAGGTAACTTCCAAGATCTTGCAAATCATCAGCAAACTTATGTAATGCTTCTGCCAGGAGGAAAAAGTCATTGTACCTTGAAATGATAATACATAACATCAATAGCATTCATTGGTGCAAATTGGAGACATAATACCAACAAGTGGTAATAAAGGCATGAATTGCAGTCATATTCTCTATTGGTACAATGTTTCATCTATGGGTGGTCATATTCATGTACTACTTCCAAAAACCCTGCACAAGCCTATCTGATGTTATCCTGATGCCAAATGACTTCGAACAGGCGATAAATGACATGCCCATGCACTCTGCCCCAGGGCCAGACTCATGGAACTCCGTGTTCATCAAGAACTGCAAGAAGCCCCTATCACAAGCTTTTACCATCCTATGGAGAGGGAGCATGGACACAGGGGTCGTCCCAAGGTTACTAAAAACAACAGACATAGCCCCACTCTACAAAGGGGGCAGTAAAGCAATAGCAAAGAACTACAGACTGATAGCACTAACATCCCATATCATAAAAATCTTTGAAAGGGTCCTAAGAAGCAAGATCACCACCCATCTAGAAACCCATCAATTACACAACCCAGGGCAACATGGGTTTCGAACAGGTCGCTCCTGCCTGTCTCAACTATTGGATCACTACGACAAGGTCCTAGATGCACTAGAAGACAAAAAGAATGCAGATGTAATATATACAGACTTTGCAAAAGCCTTCGACAAGTGTGACCATGGCATAATAGAGCACAAAATGCATGCTAAAGGAATAACAGGAAAAGTTGGTCGATGTATCTATAATTTCCTCACTAACAGAACACAGAGTAGTAGTAGTCAACAGAGTAAAGTCCGAGGCAACTACGGTGAAAAGCTCTGTTCCACAAGGCACAGTACTCGCTCCCATCTTGTTCCTCATCCCCATATCTGACATAGACAAGGATGTCAGCCACAGCACCGTGTCTTCCTTTGCAGATGACACCCAAATCTGCATGACAGTGTCTTCCATTGCAGACACTGCAAAGCTCCAGGCGGACATCAACCAAATCTTTCAGTGGGCTGCAGAAAATAATATGAAGTTCAACAATGAGAAATTTAAATTACTCAGATATGGTAAACACAAGGAAATTAAATCTTCATCAGAGTACAAAACAAATTCTGGCCACAAAATAGAGTGAAACACCAACGTCAAAGACCTGGGAGTGATCATGTCGGAGGATTTCACCTTCAAGGACCATAAAATTGTATCAATCGCATCTGCTAGAAAAATGACAGGATGGATAATGAGAACCTTCAAAACTAGGGATGCTAAGCCCATGATGACACTCTTCAGGTCACTTGTTCTATCTAGGCTGGAATATTGCTGCACACTAACAGCACCTTTCAAGGCAGGTGAAATTGCTGACCTAGAAAATGTACAGAGAACCTTCACGGCGCACATAACTGAGATAAAACACCTCAATTACTGGGAGCGCTTGAGGTTCCTGAACCTGTATTCCCTGGAACGCAGGCGGGAGAGATACATGATTATATACACCTGGAAAATCCTAGAGGGACTAGTACCGAACTTGCACACGAAAATCACTCACTATGAAAGCAAAAGACTTGGCAGACGATGCAACATCCCCCCAATGAAAAGCAGGGGTGTCACTAGCACGTTAAGAGACCATACAATAAGTGTCAGGGGCCCGAGACTGTTCAACTGCCTCCCAGCATACATAAGGGGGATTACCAACAGACCCCTGGCAGCCTTCAAGCTGGCACTGGACAAGCACCTAAAGTCTGTACCTGACCAGCCGGGCTGTGGCTCGTACGTTGGTTTGCGTGCAGCCAGCAGTAACAGCCTGGTTGATCAGGCTCTGATCCACCAGGAGGCCTGGTCACAGACCGGGCTGCGGGGGCATTGACCCCCGGAACTCTCTCCAGGTAAACTCCAGGTAAACAACCAATAGTATTCACTACTTAAGTGCTTTAATAATTTGCATTCTAACACTCCGGCCATCTTCCACCAACATAGAGTAACTCAACAAAGAAAACAAGTTCACTGTCACTCATTCAATCACTGTCTTGCCAGAAGGGCACTTACATCAATGTTCAAATGACCCTTCAAACTGCATCATCCCCACCCCTCCTTCAGAGGGCAGGCACTGTACTTCCCACCTCCAAAACTCAAGTCTAGCTAACCAGTTTAACTGAATCCCTTCATAAATGTTACCTTGCTCACACTCCAACAGCACAACAAATCATAAAAACCACTTGCCTCCACTCATTCCTATTTAAAATGCTCACACAAGCCTGTTGCATGTCCAAGCCCCTAACACTCAATGGAAACAAGTCACTCTGTCTGACTTTTTTGGGTTATCCTAGGTTCTCTACACACATGCTGCTATGTATGATAATTCTATGTAACTGTATTTGTGTATACCTGAATAAACTTACTTACTTACACTCAAAACCTATACACCTTCCTCCAATCATTCCAAAGGATGACCCCTACCCCTCCCTCCCTTCACCCCCAGATTTATACGCCCTACCTGGAGGGTATTCCAGGATCAACGCCCCCGCAGCCTGGTCCATGACCAGGCCTCCAAGTCATATTATTTTTCTCCATCCTCTCTAAATGTCTAAACCACCTCAACAACCCCTCCTCAGCCCTATGAACAATACTTTTGGTAACTCCACACCTCCTAATCTCCAAACTCCAAATTTTCTGCATAGTATTCACCTTACACATTGCCCTCAAGCACATCTACTGCCTCCATCCTCCTCCTTGCTGCAACATTCAAAACCCATGCTTCACACCCATACAGCAGTGTTGGTGCCACTATACTCTTGCACATTCCCCTTTTTTACTTCCACGGATGAAGATCATTGTCCCCACAGATGACTCGATGAACCCTCATCACCTTGCACTTTCCTAAGTTTACTTTTAACTTCCTTCTTTTACATACCCTCCCAAATTCATTAACCAAGCTTTGCAATTTCTCAGAATCTCCCAAGAGAACTGTGTCATGGCAAAAAGCTACTCTGGCCATTCCCACTCTATACCATATTCTCTATCTTTCAATCCCACACCTCTTCATAACATCCTAACATTCATTTCTTTTAAAATCTCATCTATAAATAATGTTAAACAACCATGGTAGCATCACATATCCCTTAGGCCTACTTTTACTGGAAAATAATCTCCTTCTTCCCTACATACCCTAACCTGCACCTTAAGGGTTAGGGTAATGCTTTAAGTAACCTACCACCTATTCCATACATTTGCTACATCTTCCATAATGCTCCCCTATCCACTCCATCATATGCCTTTTCTAAATACACAAAAACAATAAAAACTTCCTTACCTTTATCAAAGTATTATTCACTGATGTGCTTCAAAGTAAACACTTGGTCCACACATCCCCTGGCCTTCCTAAAACTTCCTTGTTCCACTGCAATCCTATTATCTATCTTATCCATAATTTTTTAAATAACTACTATACATTTTACTGAGTATATTCAAGAAGTTTATTCCACTAAAATTCCTACATTCTATATTATTCTCTTTTTCCTTATAAAAAAGAACTATGCATGTTCTCTGACAAACTCTAGGTACCTTTTGCCCTTTCATGCATGTAATGAACAAACGCGCCAAGCATTTCTGCCTTAATCCCATCTACCCCTGCTGCTTCACACCCTTTCATTCCTCACTACCAGACTCACTTTTAGTTCTTCCTCACTCCTAAGAGTTGTTATACCTTCCTGCCCAATGCAAGAAATCACTGCCTCCCTCTCCTCATCTTCATTCAGCAATTCCTCAAAATATTCCCTTCATCTTCCCAATACCTCCACCTAATCTAATGGCTTCCCTCTTTTGTTTTTAACTGTTAATTTCATTTGTTTCCTAAGCTTTCTCAATTTATTTAATAATGCTTGTAACATAAGTTATTTGTACTTTTGTATAAACAAGTCTTCCATCAGACATGATGCAAGGCAATGTAATATCATATAATGAGTCACAGTGCCAGAAGTCCTATTTGCAAATCAGTGCAATACTGTATGTAAATTGCTCATCTGGAAGCTATCTGGTGGCTATTTTCACCTTTGGCTGGACCACTTATCATTTTGTCCAGCCCTACATTCTCACACATTGTTTCATAGAAACTCAGTTGACACCCTACCATTACACCCTTTGGTTCACAAAGACAATCACACTCCATCACAAAAGGCAAAATTGCCAACTTGCACTCAACAAGCTCCAATTCATGGAGTCTAATGCTTACATAACACTGAAATAAAGACTCATTTTTTCTTTAAAGTAATTTAATTTGTATAGAGAAGTAAAGTGCAGTAACATATTAGCTTAGTTTTCTACTAAAATTTTAAACATATGTTTATCTGATAAAATTTGTCCCCAGCTCATAAATCAATAAAGCACAATATATGTTTTGCTCCAGTATTGGTACAGTATCCACATTTTTCTAAGTTATATAATGTCCTCTTATGGTATTTTATGTTGTGTAATTTAGTGAACTACAAATATTGTACCAGTAATTCTTGACAAAGGTTAAACATTTACAATACCTGAAAACATTTTCATCTTGGTTGTCAATACATTCACCCTCATTTCCTATATTCTCTTGGGTAGCATATAATTCTTGTAAGGGCTCATGTTTTGACCAGTCATGCCAAAGAGTGGAGATATTGGCATCTTCCATACCACTGTCACAGCCTTCATCAGGATGGATGGTAGTAGAAGCCAGACGTACCAAATGGGAACAGCAGCTTGGAGTTGAACTTCCAGTTTTAATTATTTTAATTGCTGCTTCTAATTCTTCAATGATAAATTTATTTTTTCTCTCTGAAATGTTAAACATTAATTTTTTAATTATAAAAGGTAGAAGACTGATAGAATAGATGAATATTAATTAAACAGAGCAACAATGAGTCTTGTTAGTAGATATCTGAATCCACGGGAACAATGCCTCAGTATCTGAAATAAAGCAAATGAATTGCCCAGGTTTGTATGAAAAACCTGTGTAATAGAAAACCCAAGGTTATATTTAAACTCTACAAATCAATAAGATTGCATTTACATAATGTGACATAATTCGGGTAATGATAATATAGAATACAAACTGGGTAATATAAAGGAAAAACTTGTCCCCATTATCAAGAATCTTTCTCAAGAATATAGATTAAGAGCAGTTACTAATATTACAATCTTTGGAATGTGCAGCCTGAAGTCAATCAATCAATTTATTTCCCGATACATTGTTTGTACAAAACTGGATGACACTTCATCTCACATGGAAAGCCCCTTAATTAGGCAAAGTATTGCAGGCAAGCTTAAACCTAACTTACATTTGGAAGAATTACAGTATATATGTATATAAGACCACAATGATTTTCACAATAAAATAGATTACATGAATGTTAAACAAACGTATTTAGTGAGTATATTTTGGCACAGGTACAAATAAGTACAATTATCATACAGCGTAAATTACCTAGGATAACCCCAAAAAGAGTCAAAGTTACAAATTATAAGGAATTAATGGCTCGTGGCTTAGCTCCCCTCAAGGAAGGCTCCTTGACGCTGGTGAGGGGCTCTTGACCTAGGGAATTGGATCTGTGCTCCAGTTGGATCTGTGCTCCAGTTCCCTGAATTAAGTTGAACATCAAAATGACTATGGAACTGAACTTCTCCAGGCCGAGGGACTGACAACCTCAAATTCTACGACTACAAGGGTGATGGACTGATTACATCGTCTTCACATCTCAACTGTTCCTGCCTATTTTCTGTATTCGACTGAAGAAGCCTACTGTGTAGGCGAAACGTTTCGGAATAAAGTTGTCTAACTGTTGCATATGTGTCTTACCTAACAACTCCCTGAATTAAGCCTGAATGCCTTCCATCCCCCCATAGGCGCTGTATAATCCTACGGGTTTAGTGCTTCCCCCTTGATTATAATAATAATAATCGTGGCTTAGCTGTAGCAGCTTCCATTTACAACTGAAAGACATAGATTCAATCCTGGAAAGAACATATAATTAAAGTCATACAATGGTGATAACAGTATTATTATTATTATTATCATAACTAAGCGGTAAACCCATAAGAGTTATATACAGTGCTGCAGGTGATAACAGTAACTCTTCAGTTAACATACACCAGGAGAGCAAAATGGTATAAACAGGTCATGTATTTAATGTAATCAGCTATGATTAATAACACTATGGAATATATTATAATTAGGTATAGGTACTGTAGTGCTCTAAGGTTACCTGTTGAAATGTAAAGCAATATCTTTTCCATTTTCTTGGTGGGATCTTCTCTTTATTTATTCTTTCGTTTGAGGTTTACAGGGCGCCTACAACTTACACCGTATTGAGCCCTGTTTCTCAGTGCTGGGGAAAGAATTAATGACCAAAGTTGGGTGACAACTGGGAAGAAAACAGGATTTCTCTTCAAGAATGAAAACGGGAACAAAAAGTTCCCAATCAGAGCAGGTGAACCCGACATTTAAACCCCGGCAGAGCCAGACATCCACACTCCATAGTCAGTAACCGGCTTCTACCAGGCTGTAGAAATCTGTCGAGCGATGGCGGTACTGATTAATATTACCAGAAAAATTAATTGCTTCTTAGAGCGTGCATGATGAGGACAACTGCCTCGGGAAGAGTATAGGTGACTTGTCACTGATATGAAGGACAGGACAACATATCTTCAGTCCATCAAGATTATTGCTGCAGTAATATTTGATGTTAGTCTGGGTCTTCCCGCCAAAACAAAAAAACATAAAACACTTCACCAGCGCCTTCATTGTTTCTGTTTTCTTGACAGTATTCTGATGACGGCTCTTGATTCAAGGGATTGAAGCTACTTTATCATTCCTTGGATCATTTATAAGTAGCTCTCATTCCCAAAGCCTTCTATGACTCCAGTAGAAATATCACATTTTTTGTTTTATTGATAAATATACATTAAAAACATATATGATTACATGTTACATAATAATCTACTATAAACAGTGAATGGAACAATTAAAATAAATAATTGAAATAATAAATAATCTGCACATGCTACATCCAAAATACACTGAAAAATGCACACACATACACATCCCTCATTTGAAAAAAAAAAATCATAAATTCAGAGACAACTCACAAATGGTTAAGAAGACCCGGGCCGGGAGAATACCGGCGAAAAAAAAAAAAAATTCACATCGACACCATGCCTAACCCTTCTAGGGTAGGGTAGGTGCCTGAGCCTGAGCCTTTAGCTCATAAGACTGTCATTCCCATTAGCCCCTTGGGGCGGGGATGGCAGACCAGAGAGGCCTAGCTTGTGGCTAGGCCTGGGGACAGTTGGTCCCAAAGATGAGGAGGTACTTGTGCCTCCTCCCATGGGAGACTTAGGTTTCAGACACTCCCTAGAGAGGGAGACAAGGCCGGGCCACCACTTGGAAAAGGCCCGGGCCGGGAGAATACCGGCTAATCTTTAAGGGAGCAGTCAGGTTCACGAGCGCGGAGCAAAAAAAAATTCGAAAAAATATGAAAATGGAGTTATTGTTACCAAAAAATAGCTGAACTTTCTGGCTACACGCTGGTATAATTATTATCCTTGTACGATGTTTCTAAAAGGAATTACAGCCATTTATAACAGGCATGGTGACAGTGCTGACTCGTCATATTGCGTAAAAAATGTGATGCCCTAGGGGTAGAAATTTCTATCGGTGTATCCCCTGAAGGTTCGTTCTCTCATACAGATGATGAGAGAAAACGATTTTTCAATGGTTAACTGTAATAAAAACTCGTAGGTCACGCAAAAAGTGTAAAATAAAGCGAATTTTCCGGGGAAAAAAATTATTTCCCGGGCAGCTGGGATTGGATCTGCGCTCCGGTTCCCTGAATTAAGCCTGAATACCTTCCACATTCCCCCCACCTGGAGTCTACCTGGAGGGCATTCCGGGGATCAACGCCCCCGCGGCCCGGTCCACGACCAGGCCCTCCCGGTGGATCAGGGCCTGATCAACCATACTGTTACTGCTGGCCGCACGCAATCCAACGTACGAACCACAGCCCGGCTGTGGCTCCATAATCCTACATAATCCTGCATAATCCTACGGGTTTAGCGCCCCCTTTGATAATAATAATAATAATTAGCTATAGGGACATATAACCATCCATTAGAGAAATACCTTGACTGCATGGGAAGCTAATTACTTCAAACCTGCCATAACACAAAACAAAAATCTGCCATCAGAATACTTTGGTCCTTGTCTCCCAGCTATTCAAGAGTTTAAATTTACTCAACATACAAATTATTCATATCTTGTGTTGTGCATACCATATATACAGGACATTTAACACATTCAAATACTGTTGCAACACAGCACACTGTAACAGTACAAATATACTTTTTTTGTCATCCCACATCTTCCATATAACCTGTCTAGGACTATGTTATTATTATTATTATTATAATCAAGGGGGAAGCGCTAAACCCGTAGGATTATACAGCGCCCAGGGGAGGGGGGGATGTGGAAGGCATTCAGGCTTAATTCGGGGAACTGGAGCACAGATCCAATTCCCTAAATCAAGAGCCCCTCACCAACATCAAGGAACCTTCCATGAGGGGTGTCTAGGACTATGTACATGAAAAGTACAAAAAATATGGAGCTCTCTCCCAGAAGAGCCTATAACTCCTTTACCTGCCTACTGCTTCAAGAATATGGTCAAAAATTACCTTCCTTACCTGGAAGGTATTTCGAGGGTCAATGGCCCCGCGGCCCGGTCCATGACCAGGCCTAGCAGAGGATTAAGACCTGGTCGACCAGGCTGTTACTGCTGGTCGCACGCAAACCAATGTACGAACCACAGCCGGTTGGTCAGGCACTGACTTTAGAAGCCTGTCCACAGGTGTCCAACTCCCTCTTGAAGACAACCATGGGGATGGGGTCCATTGGTAATCCCCGTTATGTATGCTGAGAGGCAGTTGAACAGTCCTTTCCTAATGTCCATCTGCTAACGTGCAATCGCTTTTAATCTCTACTGCCTTCTACCAACTCTCCTCTCAACTGCTCTTGTGAACAGTCTTATACTATAATAATAATAATAATAATAATAATAATAATAATAATAATAATATCTTTATTTCTACAAGTACATGTACAAGGTATGCAGGCATAGCTGACATCAGTGACATACTATGTAGAAAGCCGCTCGTTATGCAGAGCATTTCGGGCAAATTAGGTCAATTTTGTCCCAGGATGCGACCCACACCAGTCGGCTAACACCCATGTACCCATTATTACTGATGGGTGAGCATGGACAACCGGTGTAAGGAAACACTGCCAATGTTTCCACCCCTTGGCCGAGAATCAAACCCGGACCCCTCACCGTTTGAAGCGAGAGTTTTTGCCACCAGGCCACGGGACACCATGGTGTAGGTGAGTAAGTTTATTCAGGTATACACAAATACAGTTACATAGATTATCATACATAGCAGCATATGTGTAGAGAACCTAGGATAACCCAAAAAAGTCAGAGTGACTTGTTTCCATTTGGGACCTTTGCTTATTTGCATTGGGGGTCCTTCCTAACACTAATTTTTCTCATGAGGATTATAATTCATGATGAGTAAGACACATGTGCAACAATTAGGTATCTTGATTGTTGAAACGTATTTGCCTACACGGTAGACTTCTCCAGTCAAATACAGAGGCAGCAGGTGAATTAGCAGTGGAATGAAGATGATGAAATCAGTCCATCAACCTTGGAGAAATAGTATTTGAGGTGGTCAGTCCCTCAGCCTGAAGAAGAGTTCAGTTCCAGGGTCTGGAAGGAGATGAAGCTGAAGCATGAGAATGGAATCTTAAATACTGTCAAATGTGAGGTGGAAGATATTCAACTAGGCCTCAATCTTTAGTTATCCCATATCTACATGAGGGATATGAGATGACTACTACCCATGAATAATGGATGTCTACCATCTACAGGATGGATAGCGGATGACTACCTTCCAAGGGATAGATAATGGATGTCTACTGCCCACAGGATCAATATGGGTTGACTACCACCCACAGGATGGATATGGGGCGACTGTCACCCACAGGATGGATATGAAATTATTACTGTCTACAATATAGATATGAAATAACTACCACTCACAAGATAAATATGAGGTGGCTACCACTCACAGGATGGATATATGATGACTACCACTCACAGGATGGATATATGATGACTACCACTCACAGGATGGATATATGATGACTACTACTCACAGGATGGATATATGATGACTACCACTCACAGGATGGATATATGATGACTACCACTCACAGGATGGATATATGATTACTACTCACAGGATGGATATATGATGACTACCACTCACAGGATGGATATATGATTACTACTCACAGGATGGATATATGTTGACTACCACTCACAGGATGGATATATGATGACTACCACTCACAGGATGGATATATGATGACTACCACTCACAGAATGGATATATGATGACTACCACTCACAGGATGGATATGGGGTGTATGCTAAAGATGTCAGTTAATCAGACTTAACTATTGAATTATCTAGGATGAAGAAGAGAAGACAGGATGAAGAAAAGAAGCTAGGATGAAGAGAAGAAGCTAGGATAAAGAGAAAGAAAAGATATGAACAGAAGAAGAAACAATAAGAGAAGCCAAGAAGAGTAAGAAAATAAAGAGTGAAGATGTCGAAGATAAAATGAAGAAGTATGTATGTTAAGCTTTATTCAGGGAAATCTACATAGATTTTAAAGACAGTGGTATAAATTGATTCAATGATTCTGATGGAGGTGAAGGAGAAAGTGAGGGAGAAAAAGACGAACTCTTGTATGGCTCATAAGAAATAAAAAAAAAATAGGAAGAAAAGGTGAAAGAGTAAGCTACTATTTAGACTTTGGGTACATAACATACAGTTATTTTATAATGATCTTGAGTGAACACAGATATTAAAGACATTAAAAGTACATTACATAGATTTAACAATAAATTTCCATAAATGCCAAGTCAGCAAAGTTAAGGAGTAAGTAAGTAAGAAAGCTTATTTAAGTACAGGTACACTAAGTACAATTGTCATACATAGTGTAAATTATCAAGGATAACCCCAAAAAAGTCAAGGTGACTTATTTCCATTGGGATAACCAAGAATTTATATGAGAGTGAATAATATAATTTTATTTATTTATTTATTTAATGTAGTACCCAACACTGTAACACTGACATACATTTAAAAATTAAATGTTATTGTTATTAAAGTGTAAGGACAAAGAACCATAGTGTGGGTTGAGAGAGTGACAACTGTGAGGTGTTGTGGTAGTCAGGTGGCAGCACTAGTACAGTGTACTAGTTCCATCATCACTTACACTCTCTCTGTCTCTATCAACATATCAGTCTCGCCTCCAGCAAGAAGTAAGATTGCTGAATACTATAACTGTTGCATCTAGTGGCTGCGAGATTTATTAATGTCTCTGGGTGTTTTGTTATGAAGGGTTAGTTTAAAGGCTTCGTAAATTGTACCGGTAATCTTGTTAATATGTATGTATGTATATGTATATGTGTATGTGTGTGTGTATGTGTGTGTGTGTTATTTTATTATATAAGGAATTTGAACCATCCGCACCTTGCTTAATTATCCAATTATTACATTCACGAGGGAACGCTAAACTTGTAGGGGTCGGAGGACAGTCGGTCTTATTTCCATTTGGGTCCTTTTTAATGCTCTTCCCCATTATACGACTCGATCAAATCGCATGTATATCCAGGTACCTACTTATTATTATTATTATAATAAAGAAGCGCTAAACCACAAGGGCTATACAGCGTTGCAGGGCAGGAAGGAAGCAGGTACCTACTGATGGAAATAAATGGTATAAAATACCGACACAATGGAAATATAAACACATATGCAGTATAATGTGATCCTTTATTGACAACGTTTCACCCACGCAGTGGGCTTTTTTCAAGTCGCACACACATCTGTGTGTGACTTGAAGAAGCCCACTGCGTGGGTGAAACGTTGTCAATAAAGGATCACATTGAACATTAAAATGGTATAAAATACCGACAGGTTGTTAGGTAAGACACATATGCAACAGTTAGGTATCTTTATTGTGAAACGTTTCGCCTACACTTTAGGCTTCTTCAGTCAAGTACAGAAAAGTTGATAGAAGCAGAAGATACTTGAAGACGATGTAATCAGTCCATCACCCTTAAAGTTTTGAGGTGGTCAGTCCCTCAGTCTGGAGAAGAGCATTGTTCCATAGTATGAAACAATATGATATTGTTTCATACTATGGAACAATGCTCTTCTCCAGACTGAGGGACTGACCACCTCAAAACTTTAAGGGTGATGGACTGATTACATCGTCTTCAAGTATCTTCTGCTTCTATCAACTTTTCTGTACTTGACTGAAGAAGCCTAAAGTGTAGGCGAAACGTTTCACAATAAAGATACCTAACTGTTGCATATGTGTCTTACCTAACAAAGGATCACATTATACTGCATGTGTGTTTATATTTCCAGGTACCTACTGAGGAAGCAGAGGAACTGAACCATTAACAGTCAACAGATCTAATGTCACTCAAGGACCCCCAATGGAAATAAATCTTTCCTTTTTTTTTTTTTTTTAATCCTAGGTAATCTTCACATAATTACAAACGTAAATGTGTGTGTATTAATCATAAATTGTATTACCTCATATTAATAATAGAGTAAAATATTGAATATTTATATTCTACCACTCTTCACCTGTGTAGACTTTATAAGTATTAGGTTAAGTCTGCCTGAAATGCCTCGGCATGATAGTGGCTTTCTTTGTTCCAATCAAATTATGAAATGTAAATATACATTGTAACCTTAGCAAAGAAATAAAATTTTATTTTATTTATGACAATTTATGTAACTGTATTTTTGTACCTGTACCTAAATAAATTTACTCAGATACTGAAGTCTGGGGGTCAATCTCCAGTATGGGTGGAAACATTAGGACATGTTTCCTTAACTGTTCATGTTCACCCGTCAGTAGTAATGGGTACCTGGGTGTTAGTCAACTGGTGTGGGTTGCATCCTGGGGACAAAATGGACATAATTTGCTCAGAATGCTCTACATAACAAGGGGCTTTTTATATAGTAGTATGTCATTGTCAGCTGTGCTTATAGTATACATTGTACACGTACTTGTAGAAATAGATTATTAACAAGGCAGCTGCCAGAGGTCTGGAAAACAGCTAATGTAGTCAAATTATTTAAAGAAAGGGACATAGGTGGCATTTAATTATAGGTCAGTGCCATTTAATATACATAGTAAGGTTATGGAGATGATCAGAAGAGTAATGGAGCACCTAGAGAAGAGTGGATTTGTCATCCAGTATGGTTTCCAAGATTGTAAGTCCTTTCTCTTGAATCTTTTACCTTCTTTGATAAGGTAGTGAAAATTAGGCGAGAGGGACAGAGAGAGAGGCATGAATGGACTACATTTTTTAATTGTAAAGAGTTCAATACAGTACCCCACAGGAGCCTGGCACAAAAACTAGAGTAGACAAGAATTAGGGAAAGCACTACAGTGAGTCAAGGAAGCAATGAGTTAGTCAGGGAGGAAGTGTTGGACTGGGTGAGTGGAGTTCCACAAGGGTCCGTATTTGGACCAGTTTTTTCTCGTATGTGAAAAACTTTCAAGACAGTTAGAAATGTCCATTTACAGATGTGAAACTGAGTTTAATGCAGACAGAAGTAGACCAAGAAAATCTACGTATGTATTTGGACAAGCACAGGATTGATCTGACAAATGGCTACTAGAATTTAATCCCACTAAATGCAAAGCTGTGGAAATCAGAAGAGCAAAGATGTTCAAAAGTGGTGGGCATAGGTCTGAGCATTTTGCCTGAGGCATACAGCAACCGAAGACTGGTAAATTTCAGGGTACCTTTCAGGAACATCAATAGTCATTCACAACCTTACCCATGGCATATGTCAAGCCCATCTTGAAGTATGGAGTGCCAGTATGGAGCTCTCATCTGGTTAAGAATATAAAAAAGCTAGGAAAAGTTAGAGGCTAGAGGAGATAAACTTGACACCAGAGCACAGTAGGACCAGAGGTGACATGATTACATTGTACAAAATATTCTGACAAATTAACAGGGTGGACAAGGAGAGTCTGAGAGGCAGGTCTTGGGTACTTGAGGTCACAGCTGGAAGTTAAGATAGTGAAGTGGTATAGGCAGAATCCATACACAGGGTTCATGCAGCTAGCCCTTAAACTGTCCAAACATAGGTCTATGTTCACTTACGTAGGGCTCCGAATGTAGATCTACCTTTTTTATTTTATGCATTTTCAAATGTTAAAAAAAAAATAGATCTATGTTCGGAGCACTATGCAAGTGAACATGATCTGTTTGGACAGTTTAAGGGCTAGTAGTGAAACCAATAGTAGCCAGCAAAGAGGCAGGGCCAAGAGCTGAGCCTTGACCTCTGCAACCACAGTTGGTGCAATTAGGCGAGTGCTGCTAGAACACAGGCAGCAGGTGTAAGGAAACATGCCCATTGTATTGCTGGGTTTGATCCAAAGAAAGGGAGGGCAGATCCATTTCCTTTGATCAGTAGCCACTTGCTACCATCAAGGAACTTTTCTTAAGGGAAGATCAGGCACTGTTTGGTTTACCTCCCTCAAGGGAGGTTCCCTGAAATTTTGAAAGGGCTTTTGATCAAAGGAAATGGACATGATCTCTCCTTCCTTGGGTTGAATATGATTGCTTCCCATTCTCCCTGATGCTGTATGGCCCTTATGGATTTAGTGCTCTCCTCATGAATGCAATAGGAGTTTAATGCTTCACATGAAACTACAGTATTTTTATGATGTAATTGTGATGGTCTGTTGGAAAAATGTATTTCTTCCCAAAAAAGTCTTTTGGTGATGAGTGGTGTTTTTTTGTAATGTACTTAGAAGGGGGGGGGATATTTTTCCAAAATAAAACTAAGTTTTGTGTGTGTGTGTGTGTGTGTGTGTGTGTGTTGTGTGTGTTGTGGGTTTGTTAGAAATATTGATTGAATACCCTATTTTTCGGGGGGTTAAGACAAACCTGGCCTTAGTTTTTGTGGGCTGGTTTTTTTAAAGGTGAAGGAGAAGAAAAGAAGTTTGCTAGCTGCCAAACGTGTTCATAATTTGTACTTAGTGGAAGGGAGAGACATCGTTGTTCAGTATTCTGTCCACAATGTTGGTCAGGCTGCTGCAATCAATGTACAGCTCACAGATGCAGGTTTTAGGTGAGTCATGATTTGACTTGTATATTTGTTCACTCGCATTAATATGCCATACCGAAAAAATTCATTAGTCTGTGTTTATTAGGTACCATTATCACGAACTAAAAACGTTTGGAGTCTGATATTTTAGCATTGTGACAATGTCCACTTGGGTAGCTGGCTACAACAATGTCATACTAAAATGTTTTCCTGTAGAGGTATAGGCAGCTGAATTCAAGATTGTGTTTTACACATTTTTTCTACTTTGGCTTCATACTGTGAAAAAAGTAAAAGATGCAAATTTTAGGACTGCAGTTATTTAAATTGGCTCCAAAAGTTTTATGGGCATTCCTACTTGCACAACTTTTACTCCTCTAGATCTGCCACAGCAATAACCTGAACATTTCTGATTATGTGCTTTGGGTTGGTGAAATTTTCACAGGCTTTCACTCTGAGAGCCATAGCATTTCTGCTATGACTCTCAGAATGCATATCATGAACTAAAACTTTCCTGAAGTTAGTATGAAACATGCCAACCTTCATGTAAAATTTTATCAAAATTGGAGATGGTCAGGTGGGGACCCCTGGCCCTGCTGCTATTTCAAAATTTAACTCAATATTTGATCACTGAAATATTGAAGGGCTGTGAATGTGCTTATAGTATGTTATAGAATGGCCTCTTCAAAGACCATTTTATTTTTGACATTTGCTGTATCTTTGATAGTTTATTAATTTTTGAAAGCAAGGCCAAAATGTCATTATTTGTACGAACAAGCATTTGTGAATTATTGGGAAACATTTTCTTAGGTCTAGAACTACACTGCTTAACATCCTGACTCCTCACTTTATTTAGAAAAGAGTTAAAGGTATCTGATTTGTTATTTGAGGATGACAAAGAACTGCTCTGTTGGTTCACAGCAATCTTAAAAATTTCCTGTGTATTGATTGGGCTCTGCAAAGGCTCTAAGTAGTAAAAAAAAAATTGTCATTGTAAGTTAGTATATTGTTGTACCACTATAAACTGTAAAAGAATGGATATAATATATTATTTTTTTACAGTACTGAAGATTTTGACATAGCTGGTGGTCAGCTGCAAGTGAAGTTTGACAGAATTGCTCCAAATGCAAATGTTTCTCACACTGTTGTTGTGAAACCCAAGAAGTATGGTTATTTTAACTTCACAGCAGCAGAAGTGTCTTACCAGCCATCTGAAGATTCTGCAGAGGTATATTGAATACTGTTTATTAATTTCATTGGTGAAATTAATTATGACATGAAAGGCATACTGTATTATTTACTACAAACTTTTAAACTGTCCAAACGTAGATCTACGTTCACCCACGTAGATCAGTTTTTTTTTTTACATTTGAAAGCGTGTGAAATAAAACATAGATCTACATTCGGAGCACTACGCGAGCGAACATAGATCTACGTTTGGACAGTTTAATGTTAACGTAAAAGCTATTAGTTGGTAGCATTCCGAACTTGTGCCACTTGGTAATGAGCAGTATACATTAATCACTTATAAAACTGTTCTTGTAAAGTTCTCTACACTGTATTCATGCTAAAAGGGTATAGCAGTGCTTGTCATTACTAGATTACTAATATTTTTTTTTTTTTTTTTTTTTTTTTTTTTTTTTAACACTGGCAGTCTCCCACCAAGGCAGGGTGACCCCCCAAAAAAAAAAATGCTTTCACCATCAGATACGACAGTTTAGGTGTCACTCCAAACAGCCAGTATTCCAGACCTCTTTTAAAGTGCAGGCCTTGTACTACCCACCTCCAGGACTAGTCCAGCTAACTGGTTTACCTGAATCCCTTCACAAAATATTACCCTGCTCACACTCAAACAGCTTGTTGGGTTCCAAAAACTGTCTCCATTCACTCCAATCTAACATGCTCTCACATGCCTGCTGCATGCTCAGATATGCAACTTAGCATGTCCAGATATGCAACTTAGACTAAAAAGCAAGTTAAGAATTAACAAAATAAGGATTCCCATAATTTGTGTTCAAAAAAAAAATTCATTAAAAAGTTAGCTTTTTACTTCACCTTTTAATGATTATCATACATTTGTATGTATTTTTACATAAAAATAGTTAATATTTTTAAAAGGCTTTATTTTCTAACTTGCTATACTTCACACACTCTTGTCAGTTATCTGCATGAAGGGATGGAGAATAAAACTTGTGATTAGGTTTGAACCTTATTTCCTAGCTCTTTATGACCAATTGATGTTAAAAGATTCATGGTTAACTGGTGATGGGAAGGAGCCAGTGAAATGTCTTTATTAGAGTATGTGCAGATAAAGGACTACTGCTGTCAATTTAGTAATTGCCACATACTGGCATCTCCAGTCAAGACAAGGGTGATCCTAGAAATCATTCACAATTATTCAATCAATGTCCTGTCTAAAGTGTATGTGTACTATCATATTTTAAATAACCCTCCAAACTGTAACATCCCCACCCCTCCAGAGTGTAGGCACTGCACTTCCCACCTCTAAGACTAAAGTTCAGCTAACTATGGTTACCCTGAATCCCATCAAAAGTTGCCTTGCTCACGCTCCAACAGCCTATCCATTAAAATCGACTTGTCTCCATTCACTCCTTTCTAACATGCTGGTTGTATTGTATTAACAGTACTGTATTTTTTTTTTTTTCCAACAAGTCGGTCGTCTCCCACCGAGGCAGGGTGACCCAAAAAAAAAAGAAAGAAAATCCCCAAAAAGAAAATACTTTCATCATCATTCAACACTTTCACCACACACACACATTATCACTGCTTTTGCAGAGGTGCTAAGAATACAACAGTTTAGAAGCATATACGTATAGATACACAACATATCCCTCCAAACTGCCAATATCCCAAACCCCTCCTTTAAAGTGCAGGCATTGTACTTCCCATTTCCAGGACTCAAGTCCGACTATATGAAAAATAACCGGTTTCCCTGAAACCCTTCACTAAATATTACCCTGCTCACACTCCAACAGATCGTCAGGTCCCAAGTATCATTCGTCTCCATTCACTCCTATCTAACACGCTCATGCACGCTTGCTGGAAGTCCAAGCCCCTCACCCACAAAACCTCCTTTAACCCCTCTTTCCAACCCTTTCGAGGACGACCCTACCCCTCTTACCTTCCCCCATAGATTTATATGCTTTCCATGTCATTCACTTTGATCCATTCTCTCTAAATGACAAACCACCTCAACAACCCCTCTTCTGCCCCCTGACTAATGCTTTTATTAACTCCACACCTTCTCCTAATTTCCACACTCCGAATTTTCTGCATAATATTTACACCACACATTGCCCTTAGACAGGACATCTCCACTGCTCCAACCGTCTCCTCGCTGCTGCATTTACCACCCAAGCTTCACATCCATATAAGAGTGTTGGTACTACTATACTTTCATACATTCCCTTCTTTGCCTCCATAGATAACGTTTTTTGACTCCACATATACCTCAACGCACCACTCACCTTTTTTCCCTCATCAATTCTATGATTAACCTCATCCTTCATAAATCCATCCGCCGACACGTCAACTCCCAAGTATCTGAAAACATTCACTTCTTCCATACTACTCCCCAATTTGATATCCAATTTTTCTTTATCTAAATCATTTGATACCCTCATCACCTTACTCTTTTCTATGTTCACTTTCAACTTTCTACCTTTACACACATTCTCAAACTCATCCACTAACCTTTGCAATTTTTCTTTAGAATCTCCCATAAGCACAGTATCATCAGCAAAAAGTAACTGTCAATTCCCATTTTGAATTTGATTTCCCATAATTTAATCCCACTCCTCTCCCGAACACCCTAGCAATTACTTCTTTTACAACCCCATCTATAAATATATTAAACAACCATGGTGACATTACACATCCCTGTCTAAGACCTACTTTTACCGGGAAGTATTCTCCCTCTCTTCTACACACCCTAACCTGAGCCTCACTATCCTCATAAAAGCTCTTTACAGCATTTAGTAACTTACCACCTATTCCATATACTTGCAACATCTGCCACATTGCTCCTCTATCCACTCTATCATATGCCTTTTCTAAATCCATAAATGCAATAAAAACTTCCCTACCTTTATCTAAATACTGTTCACATATATGCTTCAATGTAAACACTTGATCTACACATCCCCTACCCACTCTGAAGCCTCGTTGCTCGTCCGCAATTCTACGTTCTGTCTTACCTCTAATTCTTTCAATTATAACCCTACTGTATACTTTTCCTGGTATACTCAGTAAACTTATTCCTCTAAAATTTTTTACAATCTCTTTTGTCCCCTTTCCTTTATATAAAGGGACTATACATGCTCTCCGCCAATCCCTAGGTACCTTCCCCTCTTTCATACATTTATTAAACAAAAGTACCAACCACTCCAACACTATATCCCCCCCTGCTTTTAACATTTCTGTCATGATCCCATCAGTTCCAGCTGCTTTACCCCCTTTCATTCTACGTAATGCCTCACGTACCTCCACCACACTTACATTCTGCTCTTCTTCACTCCTAAAAGATGGTATACCTCCCTGGCCAGTGCATGAAATTACCGCCTCCCTTTCTTCCTTAACATTTAAAAGTTCCTCAAAATATTCTCGCCATCTACCTAATACCTCCTTCTCCCCATCTACTAACTCCCCTACTCTGTTTGTTTTTAACTGACAAATCCATACTTTCCCTAGGCTTTCTTAACTTGTTTAACTCACTCCAAAATTTTTTCTTATTTTCATTAAAATTTCTTGACAGTGCCTCTCCCACTCTTTCATCTGCTCTCCTTTTGTGCACTCTCACCACTCTCTTCACCTTTCTTTTACTCTCCATATACTCTGCTCTTCTTATAACACTTCTGCTTTGTAAAAACCTCTCGTAAGCTACCTTTTTCTCTTTTATCACACCCTTTACTTCATCATTCCACCAATCACTCCTCTTTCCTCCTGCCCCCACCCTCCTATAACCACAAACTTCTGCCCCACATTCTAATACTGCATTTTTAAAACTATTCCAACCCTCTTCAACCCCCCCACTACTCATCTTTGCACTAGCCCACCTTTCTGCCAATAGTCGCTTATATCTCGCCCGAACTTCCTCCTCCCTTAGTTTATACACTTTCACCTCCCTCTTACTTGTTGTTGCCACTTTCCTCTTTTCCCATCTACCTCTTACTCTAACTGTAGCTACAACTAAATAATGATCCGATATATCGGTTGCCCCTCTATAAACATGTACATCCTGGAGCCTACCCATCAACCTTTTATCCACCAATACATAATCTAACAAACTACTTTCATTACGTGCTACATCATACCTTGTATATTTATTTATCCTCTTTTTCATAAAATATGTATTACTTATTACCAAATTTCTTTCTACACATAGCTCAATTAAAGGCTCCCCATTTACATTTACCCCTGGCACCCCAAAATTACCTACTACTCCCTCCATAACATTTTTACCCACTTTAGCATTGAAATCCCCAACCACCATTACTCTCACACTTGATTCAAAACTCCCCACGCATTCACTCAACATTTCCCAGAATCTCTCTCTCTCCTCTACACTTCTCTCTTCTCCAGGTGCATACATGCTTACTATAACCCACTTTTCACATCCAATCTTTATTTTACTCCACATAATCCTTGAATTTATACATTTGTAGTCCCTCTTTTCCTGCCATAGCTTATCCTTCAACATTATTGCTACTCCTTCTTTAGCTCTAACTCTATTTGAAACCCCTGACCTAATCCCATTTATTCCTCTCCATTGAAACTCTCCCACCCCCTTCAGCTTTGTTTCACTTAAAGCCAGGACATCCAGTTTCTTCTCATTCATAACATCCACAATCATCTCTTTCTTATCATTTGCACAACATCCACGCACATTCAGACTTCCCACTTTGACAATTTTCTTCTTCTATTTTTAGTAATCTTTACAGGAAAAGGGGTTACTAGCCCATTGTTCCCGGCATTTTAACTGAATTTAATATGCAAGACTTGACAGTTAAGATACTGAAATTAAATATTTAAATTAGTGGAGTTTATTTCTGTGTGTTTTTCCTAAATGTGCCTTGTTTCTGGAAATTCTTACTTCAAGATATGCAAATATAATATGCCCTTGTTTGTATGGAATATTTCCTCAGTTATTCCTTCTGTAATTTTATGCTAATTACAGATCCAGATTGGATATACCTCAGAGCCTGGTGAAGGAGGGATCATTGCTTTCCGTGACTATGACCGAAAATTTTCACCTCATGTTGTAAGTAAACACCTTTGCACTAATAAGTATACACTGTTTAAAAATCTTGCCTGGTTATTAGAATTTTTCATCTAATTAATACATATTGCTTTTCCAGTTTGATTGGTTGATCTTCGCTCTGCTGATGATCCCTGCTCTTCTAGTTCCTTACATGATGTGGTACAACATTAAGTCCAAATATGCAACAGTTCCACGTGGAAAAAAGAGCAGATCTGATTAAGCTGCACATTTCATTCTATTTATTCTTCTTGGCAAATTAATTTCATGAATTAATGATAGCTTAAATTAAAAAAATCAAATGTTCTGGATAACTTGAATGACATTAAATGGCTATTTTAATTTTTAGCCAAACTTGAGGGAAATTTCTAATTGTCTTAAGACTTGCATTCCTTTGCAAGATCCTGGTCATGTTTGGGAATTTTGTATGTCTGATATGTGTGAGTGTATATGATGTACATTTTATTTTGTGCAGTTAAATTTTAGTATGTCAGTTGTAATATTGTTTTTTAATTAAATTGAAAACCAAAAAAAAAAATATTATTAATCCACAATTTGTTACCTTACTAGTGGAGAAAACTTGCTACAAATGTAGATATTTGCAAGGTGTGGTGTGCCAAAATTGTCAAAAGTTGGTGCAACCTGCAAGGCCTGTTGGCACATCTGGGTGTTTATCAAAGCTGAATTCTGCATACAGGTCGGCCATCACTAATATGGCAATCAGTGTTCCGATTCTATCCATAATCCAGCTAGCATAATTTCAAATTTCATTATTGTGCTGACTCAAATTATACTGACTCAGAAATTGTGCAGATGATTGTAAATTCACAGTAGCAAGCCAGTAGAGGAGAAAGCCGTGCTGAAAATGAGAAAGATGTAGCAGAAAGTCTCTCTTGATAGGTTAAGTGTATTCTGACCTAACCACTCTGTAATCTGACACTTGCTAATCCGGCACACTGCAGGTCCCAATGTTGCTGGATTAGTGATGGCCAACCTGTACTCTGATGGGAGAGACTTGGGATGTGTTGAGCAGAACTCGGTACAGCAATTTTCAGAAGTATTGGGCATCTTTACATGTGGCAACTGTAAGATATGTTTGATTATTAATTGCGAGAGTATAATTTCTCCATACCCAGCAATGATGGAAAGTTGGCCATAAACCTAGTTGTATATGACCCCCATGGGTTTAACACCTTTACGTAAATGCTGGGTAATTGACAAAATTGCTGTCCTCAAGTCAGTACCAACGTTGTGGCCAGTGGTTTCTAAGCCTTCTGGGAGATTACTGGAAAATAGCATGAAAAAGGGATGGCTGTTAGAGATGGGTAGCTGATAAATGGTGAGCCAATCGCTGATTATACTGTGTATGCTTGTTACCCAGATTATTATTATTATTATTATAATCAAAAAGAAGCGCTAAGCCACAAGGACTATACAGCGCTGCAGGGCAGGAAGGAAGCGAGGGCATCAGGTGGCAAAAGGGAGATGGATGAGCAACAGGTTACGGATAACAGCGGGGCAGTGGATGGTGAAAGGGTAAAGGGCAGCAAGAGACTGAACCAGAAAGGGCTGAGGGGAGTGCGAAAAGTATCATCAGAGTTTGTGGAGTAAATCAGTCGTTGTCAAGAAGTCAATGAGAGAGTCAGGATTAAAGGAGGGTCCATCAGCAAGAAGGGAAGGTAAAGAGAGAGTAGGAAAACGAAAGACGACGTTGGAGGTAAATTCGCGTGCTCGTTGATAGAGGGGCCCAGTCTAACAGAATGTGGCTAATCGATACTGGAACTTGACACTGCTCACAGAGAGGAACAGGGTGCCTCTCCATGAGATACCCATGAGTAAGACGAGTGTGGCCAATGCGAAGGCGGGAAAAGAGTGGTCTCCCAACCTCGGCACTGATGACAAGAAGACGGCCAGTAACCTATGCTCGGTTTAATAGAATGAAGTTTGTTACCGAGCAGAGTTGACCAACGTTGTTGCCAACGGGTGCGAAGGTGGGTAGCTATTGCAGCAAAATAGTCCAGAAATGGAACACCTCGATAGGAAATTGGTAGGTCATATACTGCTGACCGCGCAGCAGTGTCTGCCTGTTCATTGTTACCCAGAAAATTTGTGGGTTCAGGGACTTGACAAAAAATTACTTTGTGCTGACTAGAAATGAACCTTTTCTGCACATGAAAAGCAATGAAATGTGGAATAAAATTTCAGGATAACTTTTAATGCATGCCCCTTGGGAAGCTCTTGGATGCCAGCAAGGGGGCTCTTGATCCAAGGAATCTAACACCCCTGCCCACCCCTTCGTCCTTGAACTTTAATGTGCCTCCCATTTGCCCAGATGCTGTATGGTCTCAATGGGCTTATCACTTGCCCAATTAAAAAATAAAATTAGGTTGCACTTTGGGAGTTTCAATGAATGTGGTGGTGGATATAGTTGTAGTGTGCATGGGAAAAGTTATATAGTTGGTTTACTTTCAAAACTAGGCAGGTATCCAGGTAGTTTTGTATGCCCTGCAGTGTGAAAATAGTACTGTATTCTCATGTTTCTAGCTCTCCCTCAACAGAGGTTCCTTGATGCTAATGAGGGACCCTTGATCCAAGGGCCCTTCAGAAGAGGTCCTCTTGATTCAAGTAATGGAACTTAGCCCCCTTTTCCTTGGATTGAACCTGAATGCCTGTGACATGCAAAGAGTACGTAACTCTTATTTGGCGAATGTACACGCCCTCATTGAAAGGCTATCTCCCCCAACCAGCGAGCCAGGTACTAAGGGTTGATGATGGGGCCCCGTCGTTCAATCAGTACCCAGGTTCCAGCCAATGAGATGGTTTTGGCAGTGGCAGAGGTGTGGGTACCACTCGCCTGTCTGCCCTTGTCATTCCCATTTTAGAGCTGGTTGAAGCACGGTCTGCTCTAGTGGCTAATATTCTGCCTTGCTTACCGTGGAGTGCACTAATACCTATTGTTGTACATAGTGTACATACTTCTGTTCAAAAGGTTTTCTGCTGTTTATTTTGTTCCCTTTATACCCAGGATAACAGGCCTTTGGGACTCCTGGGTTGTAATAATGCCTCCTATTCCCCAAGCACTATATGTTGGTGAGGGGCTCTTGATTTAGGGAATTGGATCTGTGCTCCAGTTCCCCGAATTAAGCCTGAATGCCTTCCACATCCCCCCCCCCAGGCGCTGTATAATCCTCCGGGTTTAGCGCTTCCCCCTTGATTATAATCATAATAATCCCCAAGCACTATATGACCCTCTCAGGTGAATAGAATGAAAATCTTGATCCAAGGAATTGGACTTGGCCTCCTCCTCCTTGGATCTAACCTGATTGCTTCTCATTTCCCAGGTGCTGTATGAACCCTATAATTATTATTGTCAAAGTGCTAAAATGAACCCTACAAGTTGAGAACTTTCCCGACGAATATAATATTTAATCATGTGGGGAATGAGTAAAAGCATCCACTGCTGCTTGCATTGAATGACTACACAGTTTTACTGCTTTATATATTTTTTTAATATTTATCCACTATATGTAATGTTCAGAACACCTTTTGCCTTGAAGTACCTGTCTCTTTGATTTCTAATTTGAGGGCTGCTTGAGATTTCTTCTTAGTCATTCTATTGTGACAGAGATGCAAACTGGTTTTATTCTCCAACAGTTGATGTTCTGTTCTTATTTTATGATAGCCTCTTTCACAGTGCTTCTGGCGAGTCTCTCTTCCTCCACTGAAGCTGAAACAAAGGTTCGTCTCCATTTGCTCCACAACCTTAGTGTTATCATTTACCTCAAGGACTGATATCCACAAAGATTCATGACATTTTCCCCAAGTCTCTATCCACCTGCCTTGTCACTTGAACTTTCTGTTCAGCAAATATTTCCCCTTACTGAGTTGGTGAGAATTATAGTCAGCCCAACAGTTTAACATCTTAATTGTTTTATTCTTCAGTGAACACATCAACTTCATTTAAGTTGACTTTTTCTATACCATGTTTACTTTTGCTACCCTCTTCTCAGATGGTCCAAAATTCAATATGGACTCTGATTTCTTAACTGGAATAGATGTTACCCTCTTACTGCATTACCATTTCTCCCCATCTATCTTCTTTTTCACCTGTGTCATGTAGTAGTGAATGACCCTTCTGGATTGTGCCTTACATGAATACAATAATGTTCCCATCTCTTTCTTTTAAGTAATCAATACATACATGGAAAGGGATTACTAGCCCCATGCTCCCAGTATTTTAGCTCACAATCGTGAAGTGCTAGACTCAACAATCGTATAGCAACTTGGAAATATGAGGTAACCAGGTTGGATAAGTGTAACTAGGATTCCTTACATCGGAATCCCATTGCAAGCTTCAAGGCCACACCATGAAAAAAAAAAAATGTGGCTGTGAAGTATCTAGTTATTGTACTGTAAAGCACATGCCAACATCAATAAAAACTTTGTAAATCAGTTGTTCAAAACACCAAAACACATTTTCCCATAAACATCCATATTCTAATAGGACATGCATTCCCAACTGCAAAATTCTGTAACTATTTTCATTTATTTTTATAACTAAAAATATTTACCCAATATTTTACTTTCAGTACTGTTTTCACTTACAAATTGCATTAAAGATTGTTTAATTAATGTGTATGTATATGTTGATTAAACAGAACAGCTATAATAAAGTATACAGTACATGTGTTCAAAAGGCAGTTGAACTGTCTTGGAGAATGGGGGGGGGGGGATTCCCCCCCTACATACCATCAATACAACATTTGTATCTGCACAAATAACCCACATAGAAGAGAGGAGCTTACATTGTCAAGCTCCTCTTTTCTATGTGCGGGTTATTTGTGTATCATATTGTGCCTTGTTTTGTTATTTGTATCTGCAAATATACAGGGTCTAAAGCCATCAACAAACAATAAAATACCTTTCATCAGTGGACTCCTCAAAGTCAAATGCAATGCTTGCAGCTTTTGCAGACACCCACAACCCTTGTGGGTTTAGCACTTAGTTTTGATTATAATCACAGACACTCACACAAAGGATCACTTTGACATTGAAATATAGATCCCAGGCAACAAGGGAGAAGGCATTTCCTGTATGTCAGAGTCAGTCACTTGTTTGGAATAACTAAACACCACAAATGATATGTAGTCGAAGTTTTGGCAGTAAACACTGAAAAACCAAAACACTATCACTGTGGATGTATACAAGCCACCAGCTACAATTTCACAATAATTCAAGGAACAGCTTTGGAAAATTAACTATTGTCTGGAATGTGGAGGAATGTGGCAAATATTATCTTAGCTGAGATAACCCCAGGAGGCAGCTCAAACAAAAATTCACACACACGAAGTGTTCAAGCCCCGCCTGTGGTATGGTTTATTAAACCTAAGCCAGCAAACAGTAGAGCCAACAACACTGGAAAATACACGTGACCTTATCTTCACTAATAACGATGATCTGGTATGAAATATAACATTACCAAAGACAATACACTTTATCGCAACATAACTGAAGTACAGACATGTATGGGATGGGCTC